GACAGAGAATCTCGCGCCTAGTTTACATCGTTTCCTTCACACGTCCAGTCACTGGACTGGTGTGGAGAAGAAGGTGCCATGTAGCACACATGAAGAAATTTTATGAAAGACCAGAACATTTGGAAAATAAAGATGAATTGGTATTATTGATGTCGGTGGGACTGGGGTCTATCCCAGATTCCTGGACTGACACTAAATCAGACTATTGTTCGGAGGGGAGCATTAGTGAGAATGAGATTGAAGATGAGCAAAAATGTGTTGTACAAAACAGAGTGAAAATTAAAATTGATTAACTTATTTAAGAACCGCAACAAACAAGAAGGCTTGGCTAAACTTCCAAACTGTAGAATTAAGGAGAGGTAAAAGACTGAAGGCCTATACTAGTAATTGAATTAGAGTAATGCCAATTTTGGGCGTTTTGGGGAGTTTTGATGTTAAAGCCAAGAATCTAGGTTTTGTTGTTACCATGGCCATGGGTGTTCAAATAGTTAAGATTGAACATGAATGTTCAAGAAGTTAACATTGAACATGGGGGTTCAACAAGTTAAAAATGAATATGGGTATTCAGTGACATAGAACTGAATATATATAAATGACGAGGACACACTATGCAATTATGATAGAAAGTTGTAAAGAGTCTTGATATTTTTTTTTCTTCTCATTGAAAGAATTTAATTGGGCGATAGAACTTTTGGGGGTTATAATTTTTCCTTTGAACACTAACTACTTTACTTACTTCACTTCTCTCATTATGTCCTTAGAAGTACACAAATCTTATTATCATGCAGATTCAGGAGGTGTGTTTCACGACAAATGCTGGATGTGTGTGTTATTACCTTGAATTTGCATGTAGTGCAACAGAGGATAGTTGTTTATTTTGATTTGTTTCCTTTCTTTTTCCTTTTCCTGTGTACTGGAATGGCAACCCAGTATTTTCCGAGCGGGCGGTGAGGCTACCGTCTGCTCACTGTTTCCTCTTCCTTGTTTCAATTTGAATGTAGTAAAAGTGGCGACACTTTTTTTTTTAACCTGTTTGCATAGAAGGAGGTAGATTAATCCATTCTTTAATCTTGCTTATCCTATCTTACGGAGTTGGTGTGCCACTTACCTTGTTGTGTCAATGTTTTTCTAATCCAATCGTATTTATTGTTGCAGATAAAAATATTCAAACTCTCTCATTTTCAAAAGATGCATTTGGTGCATATCGAAGGGGATATTCTCCGGTGCCCCGAAAGAATGTCAATTGCTCATTGCGTCTCTTTTGACGGAAAAATGGGGGCTGGGCTGGCGAAAACACTTCACCGCCAATTTAATCTTCGGGACGATTTCCTGCTGGCTTCTCGAAGCGTAGGGGGAGTTGTGGCGTTGCGCCGTGGAGAGAAGTTCATTGTTAATTTGATCACTAAGGAACGGTTTTTCCATTTGCCTACAATCACAGATTTCGAAGAATCTCTTCGGAATGTTCGTAAATTTTTGATTTTTAATAACTTTAAAGAGTTAGCAATCCCGGAGCTAGGGAGTGGATTGGAGAAATTGGATTACGATTTGGTCCTTCAGACTATACAACGTGTATTTAAACATGACCCTGTGACGATTTACATTCATCACTTGGTCTAATGAACCGAACCTCCACTTCTTGCTGGGCGTCTGCTTACAATGTAAATTTTATTTAATCTGTTTTATTTAATCAATATTTTTTGTCTTACTGTTCGGACTATTGTATTTGTATTTGCGATTTAAATTGCCGTGGCTGGCAATCAACTGGTGTGTCAATGGACCAAAAATGGATGCACCTGAGACTTTCATGATGAATCGACGTCCGTCCATACGGCCTCGCCGCAGGAGAAATAGTGAACCTATTTATGCAGATGCGGGAAATTTGGTTTGAGAATTTTGTTCATTGTTTTTTTTGGTTTTTTTTTTGTAATTGTAATTAAGAGAGAGAAACTAATTATTTTTGTATTTTTGTATTGTTGTATTGTTTAAGGTTTTAGATTAGGGCGTCCGATGGTGCACTGCGAGGCAGCCGTACCTCCGTATGACCCTCGCCGTATATCTGCACCACTATGTCCTGCGCCGACACTACACCAACTGCGACGCCAGGGTGCCTGTCTACTGCACGACTCCGAGGACGTCGTTCTTCGTCGTGCCGGGCCAACAGCAGCTGGTGGTCCATGCTTACATTAGGGGAAGACCAGTTAATGAAGAAGAGAAAGACCACTAGTAGTGGTACTAAGTAATTAGAAGAAACAATTTGGAACGTCAAGAAGAAAATAAATAAACCAAAAGAGAAAGTTTAAGAAGAACAGTCAATACTAAAAAGAAGAATAAAATTATTAAAAAGCATGGACCAGAGTAGTAAGCCAACATCTACTCAACCAGCCCTCCGAGGGAAATCCACCTGGGAACGATTCTTAGTCGACTAGCGAGGCGAACGTTCTCAGTGACTGCGATTCCGTTTGAGTAGTACTCGCACTCACCGGCCAGTCAGACCCACCTGGTGCGCAGTGCGACACCAGGACCGGGTTGTGGTCCATCGTCACCATTCACTTGGCATGAAGAGACGACGCCAAGGCGGCGGCGGAGAATAGGGTCATACGGCGGAAAAGGTTCCAGCAGCATCGCACTATCGGACTAGAAGAATGAGAGTAGGTCGATTTGTGTCATGTAGATTATTACTCACTTTTCCCGTTTTCTTTTTCTCTTCATTCATTACTAGTTTTCTTACTAAAAGAAAAGCACTTCCAGGAAGTTCTGCTATTGCTAGATATAAGGGCGTAATTTAATATTAGTTAGGAAAAAAAAAACAAAAAAAAAACCTGATGACTTAAAGGTCTTGGATTCATATTGTTGATTTTTTTTGCTATGCAGAACTAGGTATATAATCAGAGCACGTAAGATATGTAATAAATTAGTTTTAAGGTAACACTCCAACTTCCATGCAGGGACCAATGTTTCAATTCATTTCATTTTGCCATTTGCCTTTGTAAACAATTGTGTTTAAATTCAAATTCTTTTTCACTTCAAGTCATTTTTCTTTACGAGAGTCGGGGGCGACTTAATCTCATGCGGCGCGGATGTTGTGGCTAGGAATAAGATTCGAATAATGGCGCCCCTAGTCAGCTGGACAAGCGAACATCGCCGATCTGTCGGGCAGAGACGCGATCGGAACTGCAATCCAGCTGACTAAGGGATTCACCCCAGCCGCCCGGACGGAAGGGCAGCGGCCTGGCCGGGGGCAGGGGATGCCAGGCGCATCAGTCGCCCCGTAGAGCTGGAAGTTGGAGGTTCGTGTGTGTTACTAGCGACTCGATAATACACGTGTTTAGACCATACTCCCAGTCAGCCATTATTCCCTGACAAACCCGTAAAACCCACTATCACAACAC